TCTTGCCATTCAGGGGAAAATAAATCCAGCAATTAGCAAAATCTAAGCATCGTGTTGGAAAGCAATATAAGACAATGTATACTTTGTTGTGTCATGGCTCTGGAACCCTCATTTGTGATTCTAAGGCTATTACCAGTATTTATTCAAGAGAACTAGCAACTTCTATGGACAGTAAGGAGTGAGTTCTGCTTGCAATAAAGGATTTTTCCATAGCCTTGGGTCGTTTATAACTTTTGCTTATTTTACTTTGTTTTCTGACTTACCCAAGCTTGAACAGTCCCCTGGGTTGGGCGGGCGCTGCTGGCGGAGCCGACGGGGCGGAGAGGAGCGCGGCAGGAGGAGGAGTAGGAGAAGGGGGCTGGTCAGGGGAAGTGCGACGTGTCTGCGGAGCCCTTTTAAACCTCTTTCCCCGGAGTCCCGCAGCAGCTGCTGCCGCCGCCGCCGCCACCGCCATCTGTGCGTTCGAGCGTCTCTGCTCCCAGGATCCGGGATCCAAGTTCCAGCGCGCCGGGCACCGCCGCAGCCAGCCAGCATGTCAGGGGTCAAGAAGCAGAAGACGGTAGGCTTCGAGTCGCCTGCCTTCCCCGCCCCTCCAGCCGCGCGGCGCCAAACCCTCCGGGGCACTTGGAATCCACCCTCGCGGGCTGGAGGCGAGCAGCCCGGGCGCGGAGGCAAAGGCGCGGGGAGGAGGAGGAGAGAGAGGAGGGCGCGGAGGAGGCAAAGCTGGAGGGCGAGGCTCGGCCGGGATTCCCCGGGCTGCCCTCGCTCGCCAGTCCTCCTCTGCCCGCGTCTCTAGGAACCGGCGCTCCTCGGAGTGGTCACGCCCCGGATAGACCTCTGGAGCTTGCAGAGTGCGTTCCGATCAAGAGAAAGGACCAGAGATAGGAAATTTTCCTTCTGCCCCAAGAGCTTTTCCAGACTCGCTTTTTCTTCTGTACGCTCTCCACGCGAGTCGAGCGGATGGCGGGCTGAGCCGACTCTGGTTCTGCTAGGTCTGGTCGCTGGGTACATGTCAGCGACAGTCATTGGAAATTTGTCCATTGAACCTCCTTGTAGTGAACTTAATGACAGAGTTTCATGAGGGAAACTGTAATTATCTAGACTTAATGGAGGAAATTGCATTTCTACACTGGCAGGATTTAACCCTGTAGTTTAATTCAGCTCCCTACTGATATTGGGTGGCAAGCACCTCATGGGAGACTCCTCGACTTGGAGTAAGGAACTGTTTTGAGTTGTGTCCAGAATTAATCTGGGCAGTCCCCTTTATGGAAAATAGAGGGCTTGCCAAAGACAAAAGTCCTTTTCCACTTAGCAATAGGGGCTTCTATAAATTTTGCATCCTTAAATACGGAGGCAGTAACCATAGACTCAAGAGTTGGAAGGAGCCTTGTGGCCAGATTTGGACCACACCAGAGGTGGTCTGCAAACCTTGTTAGGATCCCACCCAGCAGTCTGACTGCTGAATACTCATCTTTACCACACTGCAAGCCTCAGATGATCATGGTGATTACACAATGGGTTAACCTCACTCAAATAGTTTTAAACTTGTGCTTGGCACAGAGTAGGTGCTCAATGAATGTTTATTGCTATTATTAGTAATGTATCATTAATGTAATATATTAGTAATATACAATAGAATTATTACTATTATTATTATATAACGATTATTCCTGAAATATTTTTGAGGTGTGTTGTGGTGAGCCAGGGAGAGATGAAAAAGAATAAGAATTGGGGAAGGAGAGTGAAAGGCCCATGTAGGGGCTAGAAATGTGGGCTTAAGCAGCAAGGAAAAGGGAGTGGGGGCTCTGTGGTTTCAGGGGACCACACTGGACCAGTCTGAAAAGCGAGAAGGAAGGTCACATCAGTTTGGAAGGGGAGAATGGCCAGTCAGGATCTATGTGCCTTTTATAGGAGGGATTTTAAAGTGTGGAGACTCTCAGTATTGTAATATATTTTAAAATACTGTCAAGTGAAAATCACTTGTGTTTTAGGCCTATTTAATTTGAATAATTTCTAGAAAATTCCTATCTTGTAAATGACAAACTGTGGCACTTAGTAGCTTTTGATGTCAGTAAAGTTTTAATTCTTGCTTGCATCAAGAATCCCTGCTTGTATCAAGAATTCCTTCCCAGTTATAATGAGGGGCTTTTTCAGGTATCAGTAATGGGGAGGGGGCCTTTCCCCTTCATGCCTCTAGTCACCAAGAGCCCATGAAGTGGAGGGTCTGAGAACAGTGCTTTACAAACTGATTGTGGGAACTGCACAGTCAGTTCTCAGAGAGTGAGAAATTTGAGGGCCGGAAGATTTGTTTTTTGTTTTAAACATTTTAAACCTTCTATTTTTTTGTTTGGGGTATGTGTGTGTTCTGTATAAGATTAAATTAATACCTGATATAGCTAATAAGACATCTGAACTTTTTATTTAGCCAACGCAATTATAATCCAGGCATCAGCACAGGTTCCCAAATGGCCAGATAGATACTGTTGGGTAATGCAAGTCAGTTTTGAATGTATATGAAATCTCCAAAGCTTTAAATGTTAATTCAAAATGTATTTTGAAACCTCACAGGCCAAAACAAAATCTGTCCACCTGTGAGACTTCTCAACCAATCAATTGACAAGTGAAACTTGCTAATCTAGGAAGCTATCCTTGAAGTGAGGAATCACTGCATTATGTTCTTCATTATTAACAGAGAACACACAGAAGTTCCTGCTCTAATTTCAAATATTTGTTGAGCCTCTACTGCGTGCCAGACGATAAATACATCTTTTCCAATGATATTTTTTGGGCCACACTCTGATAAATATAGTCTTTTAATCCAGACCACCGTAAGAAGAATAAGCACATCGTTTTGGTTACAATAAGAGACTGTACGATGATTTTCTCGCAAGCTCGAGAAAAATAAAATGTTTATAAGGGAAGGTAGCACATTCCGTCTGTGCTAGGCATACTTACCATGGAAACCTAGGATAGCTACGTGTCACATTTCTTCTTCCCACCCCTGACTTAAGCTCCAACCCTGGCTACCCTCCCCACCCACACACACACACACCACCTACACACACACACAGATGCCTAGGAGAAGGAAGGAGGTGGACTGCCTTCAGAGGACTGGAAAGAAAGGCAAAGGCCTGATCTTTTCTTCTTGCATCATTTCCTGGATTAGCATTTTTCAAGGCCAATAGACAATGTTATTATGTCCTAAAGATAACAAATCTAAAAAAGTCAACTAAGGTATTAAATTATTTTCCAAAGGATTAAGCAAGCCAATGGTTGGGAAAAAGTGAAGGGGTATTGAAAGTGTAAAATTCTTCATAAATATAAGAGATTATCTACCTATTTGAACATGCTGCCTAAGGTAAAACATGAATATCATGATGAGTAACCATTAGAAAGAAGACGAAACAAGCGCTTACTAGAGGCCATGCACTCAGCCACACTGTTTTATTACATCCCACAGCAGGCTTCACCCCAGAAAACTGAGTCTCATCTCTAGGGGAGGAGAAATGCCAGAAGAAGGGCAGGATTTGAATTCAGGTCTGTCCAACTTTAAGCACAAAATGAGGGTAACAATGACTTACCCGTTACAATTGTTGTGAGGAATAAATTAATTCCTAAAACCTGTCTTGCACAGTTCCAGGCCCAGAGTAAGTATTCTATATGCAGTAGCTGTTATTATTATTGTTGTTGTTGTTGTTATTATTACACCATACGTCATGGTTTGGCAAGCTAGGATAAGAAAGTATAGGTCATATGGTTCCAAAGGCTCAGTACATAACAACCACCAGAATATTTAATAAGAGCAAACAAATGCAGAAATGTAGAGATGATTATCTGAATTCTTATCATGAAAGCTAGACAGAAGACAAGGACTATAATTAGTGTAGATGCACTAAAGTAACCTAAATATAGCAAGATTTTGCCAAAAACCTTGGCCAAGAAAGGCAATCTGTATATAAGTAAATATTAGACTAACTTCTTTCCACCCTTCCTGTGACTTCAACTGTTTCCAGATCTACCTTAAAATATCCAGTTCATGCTATTCTTCCAAGATCATCTGTTTGTACTTTTACAGTTAAAGATAAATGTAGTTAACTCTGAATTTTATGTTTCTGAGATAGTTTTCTTTGCCTTTCATCGCTTTTCTGTTAATGCATGTGGCTCTGTGGTTTGCTCAGGGGATAATTAGGCTTAACTCAAACATGGAACCTTAGGGACTGAGAATCTGGGAAAGGAATCAATGATGTCAATCTTGGTCCTTGGAGATTACTGTTTATTTCAAAATCTATCACTAAATAGTGATGGGCACTCATCAGTCCTTGTGTTCGGAAGTCTTAGGACAACAGAAACTAAAGCTAAATAAACAAATATAATGGCACTTCAACTAACCTCTCATCCCCCGAGTGATTTGTTCTTATTACAACTGAAATGGCAGGTTTGCCCAGCAACCTGGCATAGAGCCTGGCACAGAGTAGGTACTCAGTAAATATCTGTTGCATAAACGGCTACAGGATTCATCAGAGAATGAATTTGCTTTCAGGATCTACATTTTTCTTATATTTCTCCCCATCCCTCTTTATCTGTCTGTTCTTGTGTGCTTGCTTATTTTTGCCTGGGTATTTGTCATTACCACTGAAGTATTACTTGTAGGGATTCTTTGAGGCTTTTTTTTTTTTTTCTTTTTTTCTTTTTTTCTTTTTTCCCCCCCAGAGGATTTGCTTTTGTTTCTGCCAGGTGCCTGGCGGCATTACTAGTCTGGGACCATTTTAAACTAAATTTACCATTCAAGTTTTTTAGACCACCCAGGTGATGTAAAGAGTTGCAATTTTGCACATGAGGGCCAGCTTGTGAATACAACTTATTAGAGACCCCACCCCCAAGTCACTCAGAGTGGGAGAGAGGTTTATTCTGGTTCATACTTATTCGTAGGGTGTGACTCTTAGGAGCCTCAGCTTAATGCAAGAAAAGCCTTTATTATTCTCCCCACTTGGGTGGGTTCTGGGCTCCGATTTGTTTCTTCTCCCCTGCGAGGCTGTCAAAATCAGTTCACATCTGCCCCTATCAGAATAAAAGCTTCCATGGTTTGTTTACCTCTCAGGCTCCTGCTTTCCTGCAGATTTTGGCCTGGCAGTTTCTTACTGTCTTGTCAGCTATTTGGTGTTTTTAATGAGATTCTTTTATATTATAATCAGCATTTTTAAAATTTGTTTTCATAGAAAGGTTGGTATGTATAACCTAGACCATCACTGCTGGAAACAAAAATCTCTGCCCTTTCTTGATTACTATGTACCATTAACTTTTCATATACGTATATCATTCTTATAAAGGAAGCACTTTATGAACGAGTGAACATAAGTCAGA